GGAACCTTGTACCCCAAATGCGTAATATACAATTGTTAACGACTCAGCAACCGTACGTCGTTTCCCTCAACTTAAAAAAATGGCAATTTAAGTCAGTTCACATTTCAAAGTTATTTTTCTCGACTTAATAAAATCAAAAAAATGTAAATAAGTTAAACTTTATATTCTATATCAATTTAATTTGTATAATATTTATGAAAATTAGTGTTATCCCCTTGTCAGATATTTTAAAATAAAATAAAATACAAAACCCAGAATATTAACACAAAAATAGCATATTTTTGAATACAGTAGTCATTTTCACCATGAAGACAAATCCAGTGTGTCAAATTTTTTTTTTCAAAATAAAGTTTATTACATAAGCTTTAATTTAAGATATATATAATAGTGTCTGTATTTTTGAAAGACTTTCAAAAATTAAATTGAAAATGTCCTAGTTTCAATAAGCATGTTTAAAGTTTTGACCCCCCTTGTATTAAGGGGTATGATCCGCTTACAATAAAAGCGTGTCAGATGAAAGGGATATATATAAAATATTTATTATTAAAGAATAAAATTGATTCATGTATTTTTTAAAAAGTTATAGCAACATAATGTTAAAAAATGTAAAATATAATATCAAATATTTTTTCACAAAAATAGCATATTTTTGCATACGGTAGTCATTTTCACCATGAAAACAAGTCCAGAGATCAAATTGTTTTTTTGTAAATTAAAATATATTACATTAGCTTTAATTTAAAGTATATATAAAAGTGTCAGTCTTTCCGAAACATTTTCAAAAGTTAAATTTTTGTAAAAAAGCTACCATTTGAAACCCTTCCTGTGGGCTGTTAAAGGGTCAAATGTTCACAAAAATATATAAAATGATAGGTAAGTATCTAAGGTATTTATAAAAAAAAAAAATTATATTGATTCAATCATTTTTAAAAAAGTTATGGCAATTTTAAGTAAATATAGTTGAAAAAATTTCGAAAATTAGTGATTTTTAAATTTGTAATTTTTTTTGGAGATTTCACAAATTTACGAGGAACAAGGGAAATTTTTTCAATTTTTGAAGGTAATGTTTTCGACTAGATACGATTTGTGATCTGTTAACGTATCGTTGAAAAAAGTAGGTCTAGTGAGGGTTGGCAAAATAAATCATAGCCATAAAAAAAACCACATAGTAAAATAATAATAGCATGAATAAAAAATTTCTTCTCACGAAGGGAGACTATAATGATAGGATCCTTTATATTTATTGAACTTATTAAATCTAAATGAGATAAATATCAAATGATTTGAAAATTTTATTCTAACTCAAAAAAAATGCAAAATTTTATTGGCCTTAGACGGATTTGAACTTTGTATCCTAGGCATGTAAAACACAAGTGTTACCGACTCGGCAACTATTCGTTGCTTTCGTGGCTTGAAAAAATTAGCAATTTAAGCTAAGTTAAATTTAAAAGTTACTTTTTCGACTTTAAAAAAGCAAAAGAATTTAAATAAGTTTAATTTTTTATGTCTTATGAACTTTATTCTATGTCAATTAAATTATATAATATTCATGAAAGTCAATATATTCTCCTAATAAGATATTTTAAAATAAAATAAAATACAAAACCTAGAATTTTAATAGAAAAATAGCAAATTTATCGTTGAAAAAAGTAGGTCTAGTGAGGGTTGGCAAAATAAATTGTAGCCACAAAAGAACCACATAGTAAAATAATATTAACATGAATATCAATTTCTTCTCAGGAGGGGAAACTATAGAGATAAGATCCTTTATATTTATTGAAATTATTGAATCTAAATGAGATAAATATCAAATGATTTGAAAATTCTATTTTAACTCAAAAAAAAAATGCAAAATTTTAGTAGTCACAGACGGATGTGAACCTCGTACCCTCGGCGTGAAAGATCAACATGTTACCCATTCGGCAACTGTTCGTTACTTTTTGTTGCATGATAAAATTGGCTATTTAAGCTAACTCAAATTTAAAAATTACTTTTTCGATTATAAAAAAGTAAAAAAATTTTAATAAGTATAATTTTATATGTCTTATGAACTTTATTCTATATGTCAATGATATTATATAATATTCATGAAGTCAGTTTATTCCCCTAATAAGATATTTTAAAATAAAATAAAATACAAAACCCAGAATTTTAATAAAAAAATAGCATATTTTTGAATACGGTAGCCATTTGCGCATAGAAGATAGGTCGTCGGGACAAATTTTATTTTTTCATTTTATAGTACATAAAATAAGCTTTAATTTGATATATGTTTAAAGGACGCAGTATTTTCGGAACATTTTCAAAAATTAAGTTGAAAAAGTTAGTTTTTGTAAAAAAGTTGCTATTTTAAATCCCCTGTGTGAGCAAAATAAGTGTTAGATTTTCAAAAAAATGATATCAAATGAAAAGAAAATATCTAAGGTTTTAGTATAAAAAAAAATTATGTTGATTTGTTTATTTTTCAAAAAGTTATGGAAGTATTAAGAAAAAAAAGTGAAAAAAATGAAAAAATTTACCGATTTTTAAATTTGAAATTTTTTTGGATATTTCCCTCATTTTCGGGGAACGAGGGAATTTTTTTCATTGTTAATGTTTTTTGCTACGTCTTGTTTAACGCTGCGTGTTTTAAATTTTCTTTCTCGTTAGATGTCGTAGAGATAGTAAAATCACATTTAATTATTCCATTTTGCAAAATATTTCTTCTAACGGCTAAAGTATTAAATTCGTTAATTTGAATAATACTACGAATTGTGCGAACAAATTTAGCATTTGGATTGTAAACTAAAGGTGCCCAATAGCAATTTGAAAACAAAACCATTACAAACGATTTTTTAGGGTTTGTAAAGTGTAATATAGAATTAATATTATGTTGAATGGCTAACTGATGGGGTGAATTCTCTAAATTAGGATTATTTTGAAGATATTGTGGTGATTTCCGTATACAAACGTAGTTAACGCGACAATTATTATGATAAAAGTGCCTATTAATGTTGTTTAACCTATAAAAATTTGCTCTATAATCTTTATTGTTATAATACTTATTTACATTATTTTTAAAATTTTTACTTAATTTGTTGAATCTACATATATTAATCCTATAATTCATTACTCTACGATAATTATGGTTTGGATATGTCATTATACTTTGGTTATCTACATAATTTACATTTCCATAATCATTAAATTTAGCATTATGTTTTTTATTAAAGAGAATCTAATTCCATTTTAAAATGCCTGCATCGCTATCGTCGTTTATCAAATTTGTATTTCTTTCAATTCTTAAAATATTTTCTATTAATTTATCTATTGTACTATTATCTAATGACCTAAATGTATTAATTATTTTAACTGATAGTCCCTAAAAAAAATACTCTATGACATGTTTTTTCGACATGATACAAACCTATGACATTCTGCTACTTCTCTAACTAAAAATTTTTTAAGCGATTCACTATCTGTCATTTTCATCATCATTAAATTTTTTCTTGTTAAATTTAGATTATTGTAAAAGTTAAAATTAATTAATGACAGTTTAACATCTTTCCAAGTTAAATTTGTCGATCGATATTCTATAAATTCAAATATTTTAAGTGCATGATCCTGTAAATATAAGGGTAACATTGAAAGTTTTTTATTATCATTCCATTCATTCGCTTTTGCTACGCGATCGAAATACTTAAGATATTTATCTATATCTGTTTCCACATCTCCCGAATATGTAACGGTTCGATAAAATTTTGCATATTTTTATAAATTATACACTTATAAACAAAACCAAAATGATAGGAATTATTATTACGCCCAAACAGCAATTGACATTCCAGAAAAAGTTATAATATTAATAATAAAAAATTTAACTTGAATAATCTAACTGTAACTCGTGTACACTTTAGGGGAACGACTTTGAATATGAGTGCCTTAAAAAATAGAAAGTATATCTCGGAACTCGATTAAAATACAAAGAACAGCGCCTCTACCATATGTTAGGGGCCTGTTTAATAGTTGAGGATCTTAGTCAAAACCAAGAATCGGAAGCTACCCGAAGTCTGCCCAAATATCGCCCCTATCTCCTTAAATAAGTTTTAATTACCTGAAGGAGACACAGGCAATCGTGTACCTTAGTTACAGGGGATAGATTATTAAATAAAATTAGACTATTATTTTATGTCAACGACAAAATAAAGTTATATTTTTGATGTTCAGTAAATATAAATCATATGTAATGTACAATACGTCTGACCTCAATCCTAGTACAGTTGGTTAGTACGTATATCCAAGTGAGACGGAGTTCGTTGGCTATAATGACAATTGGCGATAGACAGGTCGTTGGATAAAACAAGTTACGTTATAAATAAGACGAAAGTAATAGTATTGAAAACTATGTCTATAACGGCCACTCAAACACAACTGTCTTTTGTTAGCTCGACGTCAGTAGCTCCGGGCTACAGACGAGTAGAATTGTAACATCAGCATCTCACTCTATGCTAATTAATATGTATTACGAATTAAATAAATAGAAATAAAACGTGTGTAATCTAAGTCTTAAAAACATAGTAATAAATGTTCTTACACACCGGTACGGCCTAGGGATAAGTGTAACGAAGCTTTCACGGAGAAAGGAATTTTTGTAATTAAAGTAGTTATAAGTTATGAAAATATATATTTCTCCTATGCAACGATTTGACTAATAGCACTGTGATCTCTACGCATAGCGAAACTTATGATTTGGACCTAGTCTGACTTTTATCCCAATCCTCTACTGGTGAAAACATTATTTTTTATACTAATGTATAACAATATTTTTGTATATGCATTAAAAATTATTTTTCTTATTATTTTCAACTATTTTAATAAAAATAAAGTATTAGCATAATATTAAAATAAAAACAGCGCATCTCTAAATTAAACAAATAATAACACATATTTTCTAAATATTACTAAAATAATTTAATAAAATGTATCAAAATATAGCTATTACATTATAATCATTGTACAATTAATTAGTATTAAAAATTAAATAAAAATAATAATATTCAAAGTATTTTATTTTAAATTTAGAATAACATTAGTTTATATAATATATGAATTCATTTTATGACATTATTTTATTCATTTTAGTAGATATTATCTCCTACTTCGGAATTTTTCATCTAGACAAACTCAATGAAATTAGATTTTATTCAGTTATTTCAAAAATGTAAACCTTTAAAGTTAACAAAATATCTGTGTTCGACAAATCTCAAAAATTTGTGAACTCTCTCTTATTTTTTGTACATTATATTTAAAAGGCAGTAGATTAGACTAAGCATATTAAACATCATGCATAAAAAATCATAAATACGAAAAAGACGTCACAATGTAGAAAATTTGTTTTTCAACTATTTTAATACGACGCAATTTTATCTTAAGATTGGTTTATTTCAAAAAATAATATAAAACTCGTATCAGATAATATTATTAATTCACTAAGATGTTAACAATTTTAAAAATATCAATGCTAAAGTTAAATTTAAAAAAAATATCGTCAGTATCAATTGCTGTCTTGTAATCCATTCCTAAAATATTACACAATCAAAAATAATATTAATAATCGACTAAGGGAATAAAAATGAAAAAATAATATTAAAAGTAACAGTGATTGTTAAACAATAATATGAAATATGTATATTATATACAAACCATTCCTCAATATAAATTATACAATATATAATTTATATTGAGGAATGGCATTTTGAGGTCATATTTTGAGTAAGGGACGAGAAAAAAAAAATTCTTTCTATCTTCTCTATAATATATATTCACCATTAATATATTACCTATATTAGTACATCTATATTTATTTTCATCGGTGGGTGGGTTTTATTTCCTATATCCCCTGTGAATTTTTAACATTAAAAATAATATAATATTTCGTAAAATGAAAGGAAGGTTTTTTATTTAAAAATGTTTAATTGAAGACCTACTTTTATATGGGGACTGACTAAGTAGAGCAATGGATTAGCACGAAGTCGTTCGTTTTCTTCTTCTAATCTTCGAATTTCTTCCCTTCTAGCAGAACTCAACACAGATACTTCTTCCCTAGTAATTGGCGCTGGTGCATAAGTAGCCATCTGCACATCAGGTAAACTCTTTTTACGTTGCAACGCAACTTCAAAAGGAACTTCCTACAAATAAAATATTCATTAAAACATCATCTAACTTCAAGAATAGAAAAGTTGCAAAAAATAAATATATCATGAGAAATAAATATTATTTACAGAGGTAGAAATTTCTGAAACTAGTCTTTAGAGGGGCTCACAGATTATTTTTAGAAGAAAAGTGGTTGAATAAGTCAGAGTGAGGTTGTGCAAACGGATGTCTGATGGGCCAGGATCACGTTAAATTTTCTATGGCCAAGGTCTCTCCTGAATTTTAAATATAATTATTTTTGTATTAAAATAAATCTGAATTAATAAATTTACAGTTTTTGGCTTGAGAACGGTTTAGGTATGAATACTATGTGAACATGGTATTAATACCTAACTAAGGAACATCGTATAAAATCTTCAAGTGAAAATGTTCGGAATTCATGCGTAAGATGATTTTATATGATTCCATAATTTTATTTATTATAAAATTTTAATCATTAAAATAAAAATCTACTATGTTACATATTTTAAATATTATCTAATCATAATGGAAGTAAGACACTAAAAGAAATATTAGTAGGAAATATGCTAATTTAAAAAATAACAGTTATCATTTATTAATATTTAATTGGTATTTTCAAATTAAATTAAATTGAAAGTTTGCTCTAAAAAATTGAATGCAACTTTTATTAGACCATTATTATACATTCAAATATGAAAAAAAAATTATAGTTTTGCATACACCTCTATTGGCGCCGAGTCAATCCAACTTTCACTGGCTCGCCGAGCCATTAATGCAGGACTGTAAAGAAGGTTCTCATCCTCTTCGTCACTTTCTGTCGACATAAACCAAGACATTGTACAATAAAATTAAAATCCACAAACAGAAAACTTATTATTGTATACAGACAAATAATCTTGGTTGCAAAAAATTATAATACACTTTTCATTATTGAAATTAATTTAGTAAGCACTACAGAATAACGAACGAAGACTATTTGTATTTATGTATTATTATGATGATTATCAAATAGTATGTTTTTTATCAAAAATAACTGATGGTCACGCACGCATTGAACATTCTGCCAACAACAGAAAAAGTTCTGGACAAAATCCAAATTTAAATTTAGTTTTTCTCATTCTGCAGAATCATGCAAAATCATAAAATTAACTACTTACTATAGGTACAGGTAAGCAGTTAATTCTAAGATGTTGATGGCACATTATTTTATTTTCAATCAATGTGTTTTTTGACGAATTCTATAGTACTATACGATAATATTTTCATTTATTCGACTTTATAACTATTTTTGGTTTTAAATTAGAACAATTTACATAATAAAAGTGACGTCTCATAAAAAAACTTAAATACGGGGTCTCCTAATGTTTATAATATAATAAACTAAAAGTTGTTTTTGTTCGAAGAAAAATAAGTATTTTCAATTACAAGAAGTATTTATCTATATTTATCCACCATAGTCGATTATTTATGTTATCTTAAGTTCATTTTATTTTATACAACGAAGGTCACTGGAAATCTCTTAAAATAAACTTCATATAAATTTTAGCTTCGATGCGAAGCTGAAAAGGTATTACTTTTACTATGATGTGTTTGTTTTGTGTGTTGCCATTTTTCTCAGCTCTCACCGAACCTATTTTTTTCAAACAATACGTCAAAATATCACAAATCGTATCTAGTCGAAGACATTACCTTCAAAAATTGAAAATTTTCCCTCGTTCCCCGCAAATGAGGGAAATCTCCCAAAAAATTACAAATTTATAAATCGCTAATTTTCAACATTTTTTCAATTTATTTTACTTAAAACTGCTATAACTTTATCAAAAATGACTAAATCAATAAATATATTTTTTTTATAAATACATGAGGTATTTACCTATCATTTAATATATTTTTTTATGAATCTGACTCTTTAAAAGCTCACAGGGGGATTCAAAATGGCAACTTTTTCACAAAAATATATTTTTTTTTTAATATTGACACTTTTATAAATACCTTAAATTAAAGCTTATGTAAATATTTAAATTTGCAAAAAAACAATTTGATCTCTGGACTTGTTTTCATGGTGAAAAAGACTACCGTATGCAAAAATATGCTATTTTTGTGAAAAAATTATTGATATTAAATTTTACATTTTAACATAATGTTGCGATAACTTTTTAAAAAAATACATGAATTCCTTAATAATAATTGCTTTATACATATTTCTTTTATCCGACATACTTTTTTTTTTAATAACACCATTTCCTATTAAATATTTATATATTATAAGTATATATATTCATATATTACACTTATAAATGTCATGAATGAGTTCATGAAAAAAGAACGAGTACTTTTTTGTATTAAAATAACAAGGAAAGGAACGATTTAGTTTTTGAAGGAAAACAAGTTTCTTTTTCATATTTTTATTTATATTTCAGTTTATTTATTTTATTAAAAATGTATTTAAAAAATTAATAGTACTAGAATTTATGTATGAGGTCTGTAGACTAACTTATAACACCAAATAAGACAATTACCTCAGTAGCATTTCACTACATTAGAATTACTATATTTTTCTTAATAAAATCACATTAAAAAATAATTCTAACAAAAAATGGAACTTCCGCGGTATTCACTTTCAATTAAATTTCATTTTCTGATTAAACAAAAAATTTATATTATTATTAGTTAATAAGTGTTTTGTGTGGATGATGATAACATTGTTCCCGAAATAAGTTTTTACTGAAATTTATAGTATACAAATAATTATAATTTTAAGATAAATATTTTTATAGTTTTAAGTTAATATTTTAAATATATTTTTTATTTTCAATTAATATTAGTTATTTTAAAAATTGATTTATTTCTACATTAGGCTGTATAGAAAAGAATAGTTGATATTTTATATGAATAATGATACCATAAAATATAATAAGAAACGTGTTTAATTTTTATAGACATTTATTTAAAAAAGAAAAATATCTATTTAATAAATAACACTCGTTTAAATAGCACAGTCGGTCCAACCAGATATTGTGATAGAATCAACATTATAAAGTAGAAATGTAAAAGGTTTACAATTTTAGTCATAGGAATTGATTTACATTTAAATTTGTTTTGTCAAACCAAATATATCATCATGATGCTAAATACAAAAATTGAAATTCTAACAGTAATGTCAACTTCTTTATTTATTATGGCATCTGTATTTATTGTTACTATTGAAGCATCATCTAATGACACGAGTGTGATAGGTTTACACATCACGAATACACTTTTGGAAAACTATCACTGGAAATCTATCAAAGACGTTAATCACGTAAAGTATTGGAATTACAATCATAGTTTTATAAATATTATAAAAAAACCAAAGAATAATAATTCGATATTTAAACGTATACGCTTAATGACGTGTTTTCTGGGCTGTACTTATGCAAATAGTCTAACAACTATTTTGTTCTTTTACGAAAATTTGTATACGATATGCAAAGAAACACTTATTAAAGAACCAATAAATGGTTATAGTTGTATGGCAAATTTTTTGCAATCATTTAATAATTTAGCTAATTTGTCAAAAATGATGCGGAGTGCACTGGACGCTTTGGATGATTTACATGAAAGGCAATGGTTTAAGATGAGTAGACCACGACACATATTAGGACATATTTTCAACAAGTTGGACACCATTCCCAATTTATACACGATTAAGAAAGTTTCAATGGATAATCCTAATGACAACACGAAATTTTATGAATCTATTGAACAGTTGTTTGAAATAATGAAGATGAATTTAGATGTGGACATAGAATGTTATTGTCATTTAAATCCCGAAGATAAGAATCATTTATGGAACATGTTCATCAAACTTTATGAATTTCATCCTTTTAAAAATACATCTAGCATTCCACTTTACAAATATTTAATTGAAAAAATTAACGAAGCTCATGTTTCTATTATATTGGAAAAATTCATAAAGTTAGGATTTGAGTTTGATCATGATACTAATAAATCAAAAATTTTGTTTGATATCTAAGTATATTTTTCTTATGTTTCAAACTATTTTCTTAATTATTTTTTCCTAAATTACAAAAAAAAAAAATTGATTTTATTGTATGTATTATATTAAAGTAATTAAAAGCAATTAAAATATTTATATTGTTGTTTTTCTTAAATTAAAACGAAAATTTATATATTTTACATAAGCATAAATATTTTTCATTAACATCTCCATCCCAGATAGCAAAAACGTAATAAAAATATTATTATATTAATACAATTACACTACAAAATTAATAATACTTGTTTAATATTATAATAAAATTTTTAATATCATACATTTTTAATATTTAATTAATATATTATATTTTTACTATTATTAAAATGTTATTAGCAAAACATCTTTAAAATATTTTATTTAAAATAATATAGTGTCTTTTTTAGCTTCGATGCGAAGCTGAGAAGGTATTAATTTTACTATGATGTGTTTTTTTTTTTTATGTCTGTTGCCACTTTTTCTCAGCTCTCACTGGACCGATTTCTTTCAAAAGTATGTCAAAAGATCACAAATCGTATCTAGTTGGATACGTTACCCTTAAAAATTGAAAAATTTTCCCTTGTTCCCCGCAAATGTAGGAAATATCCAAAAAAATTACAAATTTAAAAATCGGTAAATTTTGTCATTTTTTCACTTTTTTTTCCTTAAACTTCCATAACTTTTTCAAAAATAAACAAATCAACATAATTTTTTTTATACTAAGACCTTAGATATTTTCTTTTCATTTGATATCATTTTTTTGAAAATCTAACACTTATTCTGCTCACAGGGGGGATTTAAAATAGCAACTTTTTTACAAAAACTAACTTTTTCAACTTAATTTTTGAAAATGTTCCGGAAATACTGCGTCCTTTAAACATATATCAAATTAAA